TGACCAACTCTCTGCAACGCGTGAAAAGAAGGCGTGTGGTTGTGTTTATATATACACACTATATATATGATATGTATAAGAAGTTTGACAGTTGGCCATGAGTTTAAAGAATACTACATTGTAGGATTCAGTGCTTCTGATGTGAAGCATGGGAACTCAGTGGGAACTCAGGCCGCATTGGACTGGCGAAGCTATGCCCAAGCCATTTGGAGAGATGCGGAAGGACTGAATGCGCGGGGAGTGCAGAGCTTCATTTGGGATCAGTCTCTTGCTAACTTGAGGAGTGCTCGGACATCGACATGGAAACCTTAACAAGCAAAGGAGCCTCATCCAGGCGGGCACATTTATTAAATGGCGGTGTTCTGCTTTGTGTGTCGTTCGGCAGGTACAAAATGACAATTGGATTTCAGAATTTTCGGAATTTCATGGAGGCTTGTGATGATGCCTGTGTGCAAAACTATTGATGGCAGTGTGCATACTTATGTCTTCCTAAAAAACAGAGACAGTAGAACCGCCTTCTTTGTTGTCCCAGATCAAAATCCAGCAGCTTTTTGCGGATGCCTTGGCTCCAATGCTGACCCGTCTCAAGAACATGCAGGAGGAGGGTCAACTGGGGAAAGGCATGGGATATGCCCTTCCTGTGTCAGGTCATGCCCTGATGCTTCATGCTTAATGTTGGAGTATATAGGCAATACCAGTAGCATCACTAAAAATAGCCACAAGACGATATCCATTCTGTCAGAGCCATGTTGACAACGCGAGAGTTCTACCCAGTCCTCATTCCGCACACATACGGACTGGCTAGTTGGAGCAATTGACAGAGGAGCATGAGAAGAAGCTTGAGGTGATTAGACAAGAGACCGAGACCATCAACGAGGACAGACAAGATTGTCGCCCACATTGATGTGTACTCAGGCTTTTGAAGGGAAACAATCCTGTCTACTTTAGATGACTACTGATGACTGATGACTACTGAAGACCTGCATAACCCAAAGCCTAGTGACTAGTGAGATGCTACATGATCACTGGTGCAGGACAACATTTTGCACGCCACTCGCTCAGCCGGAATCACTTTCGCGCAGAGCTTCATTTTCCTTATGGAGGCCAGAGTTTTGCCAGTTCCTATGGCGACCCAGAGCTTAAACCCAAACGTGCAGGTCAAAATCTCTGGATAGTAAAACGATCTACACGCATACATTTATTGCCTTCGTGACTGTCAGCAGCGCAGCTGCAGGGCGCTCTCTCGTCCGAGCACAATAGATGTACTCTTGAGGAGGAGCTGAAGGCCTTCCATGCGTGCTCTGGCTGGGGTGGAGGGGTGGCAAGTTTCGTGATTGCTGTAATTAGATCCTGGTGCATGTCAACGGAAACCTTTGATAGACTTCCGGTGGTGGCAAGTCACTTTCAGGTACTGTGCTCGGACTGACTGCTTGAAGGATGAAGAGCTCATGCCAATATCCTTCGAGGACCGCCCTCGGGGCAACACTTTGAGTGAGTTGAAACAACCCCACATTTGTTGACAAAGCGTGACACGAAGTGTGAAACAGTAATCTTTTTTTTGCCCAGGGGGGTAGGCCGTAGAGGTATATAGTAGCTAGGTAGCTAGGTAGCTAGTAGAAGAGGTAGCTAGTACCTTACTTGAGCTCCTACCTGCAGGATAGCTCTTGCTTCTTCAAGGAAGCTCCCCCCGCCGCCCTAAAGGCGGCGGGGGAAGCTTCCTTGAAGAAGCGCTCACACTAGTGATTTGGTTCCTAGATTTTTAGGGAAACTTAACTAACATCAACAAGCCTTACAGCTCATGCCTTGGGTCTTGACCAACATTTAGGATCTTGACTCCTACGTAGCTTACCTCCGCGACACGGTGAAGCTACCTGCCATGGACGTCTCATTGAACGGCGGTGCGCAGTTCAGGAGGCCGGCAGCGAGCCAATCCAGATTATTGTTATATATTATATTACTATTTTTCCCTAAACAGTTTACTGTTGGGGTTCTATCTCAAGAAAAAAGAGCTGGCCACACTGGCCGGCCGCGCCCCTGAACTCTGTGTCCGGGCTGAGGTGTCCGGGCCTTGTCCTCCTCTTGCCCTCCTCTTGTCCTGCTGTTGTCCTCTGGCCGCGCTGGCCAACCCTGTGTCGTCTGCGCACGCTGGCCAACTCTGTGTCCTCGTCTTGTCCTTCTCTTGTCCCTCTCTTTCCTTCTCTTGTGCTTCTCTTGTCCTTCTCTTGAACTTGTCCTCCTCTCGTTTTTTTGGGGGGTGTGTTTTCATGTGGTTATGAGTGGGGACAGTGATGCAGCGTTTGATATCATCCGCGGATTTTGTGATGACATATATATATATATTTACCTTCGCAATTACACATGTGACAACCTCAGAAATCAGGAACTATTGTTTTCTGACAGTTTTTTGTTTACCATTCAAAATTGATCCCAATTGTTATGATAGACACTGGAGCTTGAGGAGTTGACGCAAGCAATATTGCTAAAGCTGTTTGGGGTATATGCTGACATAATTACTAATAGTATTATATATATATATTTGAAAGCCCGGGGGGTAGGCTGCTAGAAGAGATAGTTAGCTATTGCTGCCTACTGGACACAGGATACTTCACTCTTCTTCAAGGAATCTCCCTGCGCTCGAGGGCGAGGGGGGCTTCCTGGAAGAAGCGCTCGCACTAATCATTTGGTTCCTAGATTTTTAAGGAAAACTAAGGGTATGGGAACAAACATCCAAACAGGAACAGGGGATTTTGAGTCATTAGGTTTTACAAAAGAAGTATGTGAGAGAACTTAGACTTCAGATACCAAGCTCCCTGGTGCACTTAGAACATCTTAGAAACAGAATCAGGACGAAGTAAATGCTGGGACCCTTCCACAGGCGATTGACAAAATTTGACCACATGACCATGTTTTTCTTGTGTCATGTTGAGCCGCAGCTTGACCGGGTGAGACCGTCGGACAGTGGTCTTTTTTTCTTTTTGAATCCGGGCGCATGTGCTTACCAGCGCAGTTTGGTTGCTTCGGTTGGTATGTGTAGCTAGTTTGGTTGGCTACTCATTTATGCACTCTTGGCCATGTTGGCCAGGCTGATGTACGAAGTGGAGGTCTTCACCCGCTTTGCTGGCCTCGGAAAAAAGCTGGAGCCAGTCGACGTCATCCAAGCCTGGGCCACCAAAGTCGCGATGGGACGATGCGACCATGCAGGTTGCATGTGATTTCACACAGCTCATTGCAAGTTGAGCCTTAAAGGGCTTTTGAACATTGTTCGCTACAAGGAACAAGTGCATCGCTACTAGTAACAAGTGCCTTACTAGTATTAACAAGAAGCTAGTAGAAACAAGTGCATCGCTACTAGTAACAAGTGCCTTACTAGTAGTAACAAGAAGCTAGTAGAAACAAGTGCATCGCCACTAGTAACAAGTGCCTTACTAGTAGTAACAAGAAGCTAGTAGAAACGAGTGCCTTACTAGTAGTAACAAGAAGCTAGTAGAAACAAGTGCATCGCTACTAGTAACAAGTGCCTTACTAGTAGTAACAAGAAGCTAGTAGAAACAAGTGCATCGCTACTAGTAACAAGTGCCTTACTAGTAGTAACGAGAAGCTAGTAGACACAAGTGCATCGCTACTAGTAACAAGTGCCTTACTAGTAGTAACAAGAAGCTAGTAGAAACAAGTGCATCGCTACGAGTAACAAGTGCCTTACTAGTAGTAACAAGAAGCGAGTAGAAACAAGTGCATCGCTACTAGTAACAAGTGCCTTACTAGTAGTAACAAGAAGCTAGTAGAAACAAGTGCATCGCTACTACTAGTAACAAGTGCCGTACTAGTAGTGACAAGAAGCTAGTAGAAACAAGTGCATCGCTACTAGTAACAAGTGCCGTACTAGTAGTAACAAGTGCATCGCTACTAGTAACAAGTGCCTTACGAGTAGTAACAAGAAGCTATTAAACCCTTGGACTGAGTGTATTCCCGTAGCCTTGCTGGTGTTTGTACGCGTGTCAAGGCAAGAGGATCCGGGCTGCGGGACATCACATGGCAGGCCGGGGTGACGGATACTGGTGGAGCAGAGGCAGTTGTTGCGGTTGAAGATGCTTTGCTATTGTATTTGTTGGGTTTGTGAGGACACTATCACCCAACTGATGATGCAGATACTTGGTTGGAAAAGCGCATGGGAAAGAGACCAGACATGTTACGAAAAATTCCATTCAGAATTGTGCATTCACTTGTCAAAGCAGATACTGTAACACCTGGATGCACAAGGAATGCTCCTACAAGAATGCGAACAAAGACCAAATATGTTGGAGAACGCTTGAAGTTCTTCTTTGGAGAGCAAAAGGAGGTCTGATATTGGATATGTGTGTTTTCTTGATTGCATGGTAGAGATGTTGCGTGTACTGGCATCTTTGTTGGGAGGCGACCGTGCAGTTTATGCTTGGCCTCCAGGGCTCGCCGGAAGAACACATGTTCTCCCGGCTTATCCCAAAGCAGGCATCTGGCATCCGATTTGTATCTTGAGCCTAAGTGCAGGGAAAAGTGGATTGCACAACTCGAAGCTTTGGCGTTTGGCACGCAGAGTTGCGTGCCCGACGTAAACCAATGCACTGTCACTTGCGCAACTTTGTATTGTCAAAATTTGAATGCTTGATCTGGTGGAAGGCCCAAGTCATTGAGCGAAATGACACAATGAAGAGATGTATTTTTGAAGCCTTCGACACGGCCTGTGACCATCATCGGGTCCGCTTCATGCAGAAGCCTGGAACAAATGATCACAGGCATTGGCGTTGAGTGATGTTTGGTGTGAAGGGAATAACCCAGCAGCACAACTCTATTTTTTTAAACCATCTGTTTCTAGTCAGACCTTGTCAAGCCTACGCACACAGTCGAAGTACTCTAGCATCACATGTGTTGAGCATTTCGATCTCGAACTGAGGATGTGGTGTGATTTTATGGATAGTATGTTCCAATCGCCTTTGATGCTCTTGAAGTCCGGCTCCATGCCCTCGATTGGCGATGGATTCTCTGAAGAAATTGCGCCCACCTTCGAGTCCACCAAGGCAAGGCTCAAAGGAAACTTTTTTTGTTTAGGCCGCTCCAACTTAATTGAGTAGGCGCCTGCTTAATTAAGTAAGGGAGTAGTAAGCTAAAGCAAACTAGGAAGCTCCTAGTAACTGGACGCAGGATAGCTCCCGCTAATGATTTGGTTCCTAGATTTTTAGCGAAACTTAACAGACTCAATGATTTGGTTTGCCTTGGCATTCCATCTCACATCACTGCTGGGCTTCCAGAATCCAAAGCAACAAAGGCAAGCTCTTAGTGACAAGTGCATCGCTACTAGTGACAAGTGCATCGCTACTAGTAGCTAGAAGCTATCAGTAACAAGTGCATCGCTACTAGTAGCTAGAAGCTATTAGTAACAAG